GGGATTTCAGAAACGGTAGGAAATAAAAAAAGTTGGAAAACAAGAAATACTATGTCTCAGAATGATTTTTATGGTGATGAATTCTCGCCTGAATCACATTCTGATAGCAAGAACAATAAAATTATGAGGAAGATATCAACATAACCAGTAAGGAAACGCTACGTTTTGTGTAACGATGGGACCTTGCGGGACGTGCGAAATGAGGAATTAGTACGTTGTGCAATTTCTTTCAGAATGAATGAAACTGATGATATTATTTTGGAACTCCGATTGAACATTGATGATTGATTGATTGATGTTGATATATTATTCTGATCGACATGAAAAAAGCTCTCAGAATCTGTGAACACTCCATCAGGACCATGGTTTTAAACAAAAAATAGTTGATGTTGGTTCGACGAATGCGAAAGTCCCATGAAAAATTTATAACGCCACGTTAGGTCTCTTCAGAAGTTGCTGAAGAAAATCTTTTCCAATTGAGAGGTGCTCGCGCACTGAATTGGCACGATCAGTGTGTCTTCAGCAGCCATTTATAGTACAAACGAATTTCCATACAAGAGAAAATAAGTTCATCTGAATCTGAGAAAATATATTACGATTGCCTCAGCATGCGAAGAAATAGAAAAACGGGCACCTCTAAATAAGAGGAACCCATATGAATGTTGTCGTGGTAGTACCACAGATTAACAAACCTTAGTAGTACCTGCTTCGGAGATTATACAACCTGATAATATGTTTTCTCCCATTTTCAATCGACAGTTCATCCGACATAACTTTGAATTTGCAGCTTCCTTCATACACTCCTTCGTCTTAAAAACCGTGCAAGTTAGATCTATGGTACAAGGTACAAGTCAAGTGGGAGCACCAGGCACCATCGGTAGTTTTTGCGTCTCCTATCTTTATTCTCTGCCGATGCCGAGTCGATCTGGCCGATCTTAGCCGACCGAACCGATTCTGTGTACATGCATAGCAAAACGTGCCGAACAGTAGGAAGAGGTGGAGTCGAGTCGATTCGTTTTGTCAATCTATCCTTATCTATCATCAAATGTTTATTCTCATCTTCATCTCAATTTGAGGTTAGATCATCTTGTTTATGTGAGAGTGTGTAATCATCTAATTTCTTCATAAATATAATTCATTTTCGATGCCGTTCAAACTCAGAGATGCCCACTGGAAATTGTTGATAACATTTTTAGAACAGCACAGAACATGGCTACAGGACGATTTTCAGAGAACAATTGTCGTGAAATCGATGAAAAACTGTGAATCAGAAGTCAATTCATTGGGGCTTGTCGAGCGAACTCCTGAGTAATGGCATAAGATAGCATCTTGGGTATGCTCCAAACCTAAATGCACATAATACTTAGGATTCTCTGTTGTAATTTCCTTCATATTTCCACTAAGTGGGGTCTCAATGATTGTATCAGAAAACTAACCAACCATTTTAGGTATGGATTAGGTACTTCTGTTTCATAGTTATTGTCGTCGAGCTGCTCTAACAATTATAGTAACATTTCAACTGCATTTTTATTTTTGTCTTGAGATTGAAATTGTTGAAATTCATCAAAACAATATAACCATAACTCGAACCATAAGTAACCTCAAATTTGTGATGGCTTTGACCTCGGTGCTCGTTTCATTGGATCAAAATCTCATTCCATTTCTCCAAAAAACCGACGATTTCCGAAATCGAATTGGATCGCGACTTGATCGAGAGATAGAATAGGAAATGAATTCGACCTCATCATCATATCGAATGACATTCGACGATCGTCAAACAGAATCCTCCTGCAGGCCGAGTCGATTCAGTGCGCGTCTTCCTTTACTGTAGCTCCAATAATAACAAGGCTGATGTTGGAATGACTTTCTGAATACCCAACTTTCCTCTCATCAAACCGAATTCGTATCTTGTATTTACTACCGTTTCCGATATCCCCATGTTCCTGTGCGATCCTATCTTCGTCAAACTAGGCATGAGGACATGCTTGTCGCCACTAACAAGTCGGTATTTTCATCATTCTCAGATTTGAAACGTCTGTTCTGAAAATTGAATAGGCGTCTTCACGAAAATGTTCTCCTACATATCTTGTTCGGAAACAAATTGCAAAAATTCTAAAAATGATTTATTTGAGTTGCCCAAAGACGTGACGACATTCCAAGTGTGCTTTGATGCTTCAAATTCCAATATTCATTTCATGGAAATACATTCATTGACATAAAGTTGATATAACTACTTGAAGAGCATTATGTGCCTGTTGTTTTACGCCAATGTTAGGGATATTTGTGTCTAATATTTATTGTTCAACTGTTTAACAATATGACAAGTGTGTTCACACTCTTTGAAGATCGTAAACTGAGATCTTCTACAATCTACTATAAATTGCTATATTCTACATGAACAGCAATCAAGTTTATCGAATAGTTCCTCTAGTCGTTGGAACAATGGAGATCCATCTGATTTTATGTATTTCCAGATGTACTTATTTGACATCTGGCAGTAGTTCGCTATACCACCGATCATAAACAGACTAGTTCTTGACGTCATTAATGAGTTTTTTTGGTCGCTTCATCAGGCTGTTAGCTTATTTTCGATTTCAACACCTGAAACTAAATATATCGAAGAATATAACAGTTGAAAGCATTATGTGCATTATAGAAAGGATAAAAAATCTTCACCATCTCGCCCATTGTCCCATTTCTATTTACAGTTGGCAGTAAGTGTTAAACCAGGAATGGAATTATACTTTAAGATTACCATCTGTTGTTGGACTGAAATGAAATTCAACCACGTCTCAGTGACAAAAATAAATCAGTAGCATATTTTTCGTGTCATGTATTGCCTCTATTATTTCCAACCACATAAATCAATGTCAGTTAGAATTTATATTTATCTCGATCTGGTTTTGTATGCTGTTATCTTTCTGCTACTGAAATAGCAGATAATTAGATTGAGATTGATGAATTATTTAGAAATGTTAATGGACAAAGAATAAGAAAGCAGGAGTATCCCAGACAGGTAGATTACTTACTGGTGATCGTCCATCCTGACTATAAGTGAAACTCTAAAGTGATATAGGTACTCAAGTTTTAGTTTAATTGTTATTAGTTATTAGTCAATGCATTCGCAATTTCATTCCCTCATCTGATAACAATGAAGTCATTGTGATCAGGAGGGGTTAAAGAACTTACAGTCACAACTCCACCACATAAAAATATCCAACGGTCATGGTCATAAGTAAGGACATGTTCCGAAGGCTTCATCCTTCATCATCAGCAAATGTGTTGAAAAGAAAATCTGTAAGAAGAAACAATGCTTATGTTAGTCATGAGTATTGATTAAGGAATCTAAATGTACCTACCATTATTGGTGGAAAAAGTTCACTTAATACAAAACATGGGAAAAAATTAATTTCGTTTATAAACCGCGCATAGTGCGTGTGAGTTAATGTTAGGGAACCATATTTTAAGCTCAATAATTAGAGCTTAGATATTTAAATAGTGACAAAATTCACTTATCAAAATAAACCAACATGTGGAACTGGATTTGTTGAATTGATTCTTATTTTTGTTTTTTTTTTTCAGATTGATAGTTTCCCCCAAATGGATTATATAGATATAGGAGAAATCTTAATTTTGGTAAGTTGGTCCAGTTTGAATATTATGGATTTCTCAGAGATCAGGGAATATTAGGATCGAGATTAGGATTTTTTTAGTCGAAATACGCGCAGTTGATATCGCAAAATAGTTATAGTGAATTGGACTGAGTTAAAATATTGTTATAAATATACCGTGAGGTATTATTAATCAAAATATTGAAATATTCAAATTGGTGTATATCATCTTTATATTGTGACTTCAACTCTTGTTTATATATAATCAAGGCCTCAACCCATCATATTTGTTCATATAATTTTGGGGAGTAACGCCCATCTATCCAATCAAATACAAAGTTAATAAGCCATTAAATTCACAAAGTAATAATTTAGACTGCAAGCCATTATGTAATTGAGTTAATTGAATTAACTTGTTGAGATGTTTAGAACTAGTAGAATATGTGATTATGAATGATTATGAATGTACTGATGCATTGAGGTCTAGTAAATGGTATGCCATTGATCATTATACAGGGTGAGTCAGAATAAGACTGACAAACCTCTTACACGGATTCCTACCTCATTTTGAGGTTAATATTTCCTTTCAACGTATGTCCTTAATGCATCCTCACTGAGATACAGGGTGTCGAAAGTTAGAAAAAAGTAAAGATTTCTCTAAATTTCTCCAAATCCCCTGTAGCAAAAAATATGAAACTCGGTATACCGATCCAGATTAATCAGAGTAATCACATGGAGTTTCATTTCTCAATTTAGTCAATCAGTGGCGTAGTTAGAGTCGTATATCGCCACATTTTCCTTCATATTTTTCCTTAGACAGACGAGATGTCAAATTGGTGTATGATATCAGTTAGTCTCATCAATACCTAGCCTATAAGTAAAAACATTCTTCGTGCCTAAGTGTAGATGTTCCCAAGATATTAGCGAAAAACTAAATATATGTCTTGAGGTTGAGACCCAATTCGCTGCGTGCCATAGCCGCATAATGCTAAACTTTCACGAGAAATCACAACATTTTTCAACCCCCTAAATCTTTTCGAATGTTGATAAGATTGAAGGAATTGTACGAGTGAGTCAGAATCAGTTCGAGAAACTACTATTAAATACTTCTTATTCCACAATTTATTTCGAGGTGAACAGTTTATATTGAATGTATGAGTTTCATCAATACATATTACTCGAAAAAATCACGAAAACCATACTTTACTCCATAATTTTCATTTCCTTCGTTATACTCAGTTGCCAAATTGAGGCTATTATGAACATTGGGATAGAAAAGGACACAGTCATTTTGATCATTCTCGAAGGGAAAAAAATATTGATAGCAACACATGCCATTGTCAAAAGTTGTCAGAATTTCAGAGCACTGCCAAGTAGAGAGAAATCAAAATGGAATTCATGCTTGAAGAATACACAGATATGCATTTTATCTATGGTGAAACCGGTGGGCATTCAAGAGCCGCTGCTGAATTATATCGGGATAGATTTCCAAACAGACAACATCCATATTTCATGACACTTGCAGCTGTTCATCGACGATTTAGGCAAACTGGGTCTTTCAAATTGAATAAACACAATTATGGGGCAAGGAGAACTGAAATGATTCTGTGAACTGAGATTCGAATATACTTTCTGAAATGATTCTGTGAACTGAGATTGTAATGTACTTTCTGGATACAACTAAAACATTGAAGTCTTTAAGGACATGACTTTATTCATTTCTGACAGTATGTCACAATGGGTTGTCTAATCTGAACATCATCAATATAGTGAGGGTTACAACATTCTCCCCCACTTATTTAGAAAATACATGCATATGAAATTGAATGGCAAACTTTGAATTTATATATATGAGAAATACTCATAAACCTATCACTACACGAACGCTTGATTTTTCACATCATTCTGTAGTCTTTGGACCAAACAGGTGGACGTCTGTCTCTCTGTGGTCGTGCTGATATTGGGTACGGTGGTGGATCAGCTATATGATGATCATGGTTCAGTGGTTCTTGATCAGTTCGTTGTGACAAGGGAACTGCCGGAATCCTTGGAACATTGAATGACTGACTGGGCCCGAACGTAACTGTCTTTTTGGGAACCAGCGTTGATCGCAACTGGTTGATGTGTCGTTTCAAGGTCCTTCCGGAGTCTAAGACGACCTGATAATGCAGTCTACCAAGTTTCTTCTTGACTTCTCCGAATTGCCATAAATGCTTGTTATTGATGAAAAGCCTAATCTGAACTCTCTCCCCCACTTGAAAAAACCGTACCGGTTTTGATACAAGCTGTGAGGCTTGAGGTCGATAGGGAAAAATTGCATCCAAGCGGATCCGTATTTTCCTATGCAGATACAGCTCTGCAGGCGATTGACCACAGGCAAGAGGTGTCGCACGATAACGAAACATGATGTTCTGGACTTTGTCTTGAATAGGCGTACAGTCATCAGCAGCAGTTTTCAATCTGTGTTTTAAAGTCTGTACGTTCCTTTCCGCAAGTCCATTTGTAGCCGGATGTCCTGGAGCAATGAATTTTTGGAACATTCCATTGTATTTACAGTATGTACGGAACTCTTCGCTTTGAAAAATCGATGCATTGTCCGATACTATTACTGAAGGATATCCATGGACTGCAAAAATATTCTCCAGCAAAATGATCGTCGAGGAACTAGTTGGTGCATCTTTCACGATTTTAACTTCTGCCCATTTGGATTTCGCATCAACACATACTAGAAAATATCGATTTTCAAAAGGACCAGCATAGTCGATATGGATCCTTTCCCAATTACTTGCAGGAGGGTCCCATGGGTGAACAGGTACTTTAGGAGGATTTGATTTTATCAGTGCACAACTTTCACAACCTTTAACCAATCGTTCGATGTCCCGATCAATGCTTGGCCAATATACATAGCGGCGGGCAAGCTGCTTCATCTTTGTGATACCCAGATGTGTTTCATGAAGTTCTGTAAGTATACTAGATCTCAACTGGCCAGGAATTACAACCCTATCATTTCGAAAAAGAATGCCGTCTGTCAATGTATATTCGGAATTCTCTGTATGATTTTTCAGGGTTTGCACAATTTTGTTGAGATCTGGGTCCTTCTCAGTTTCCTGTTTGATTGACGTAGATGTGATTTTTTCGTTCGAAATCTGGAAAATTACTTGATCACATAACTGGTTTACCTCATCACAAATCAGAGAATCAGTTGAAATACTGGAATACTGCATCGGAGCCCGAGACAAACAATCAACATTTTGATTTTCCTTCCCTCTCTTGAACTGAACAGAGTAATTGAAACCTGAGAGAAATGATGCATAGCGAAGCAGGCGGGAAGAAGTCATCTGTGGCAGTGCTTTATGGTGATGGAAAATTCTGGAAAGTGGCTCATTGTCAGTAATGAGTAGGAAATGTTTGCCAAATAAGTAATTGTAGAAGTGATTAACACCGAAGATGATCGCAAGTGCCTCTCTATCGAGTTGACTGTAATTTCTCTCGGAGGCAGTGAGCGAACGCGAAGCATACGCGATTGGCCTTTCTCCTTCATCGGTAATAATATGACTGAGTACAGCGGCTATTCCAGTGGGACTGGCATCTGTGGTCAAAACGAGAGGAAGGCTGGGATCGAACGGCATTAGAACACGATCGCTGCAAAGTTCAGTCTTCAGTTTTAGGAATGCTGACTCGCATTCTGCCGTCCATATCCATCGTTTTCTCTTCATTAGTAAACATCGAAGGGGGTATGAAAGTGTTGAAAAATCAGGAACAAATCGGGAGTAATATGTGACAAGACCTAGAAATCTTCTAACTTCATCGGCATTAGATGGACGTGGCATGTCTTGAATTGCGCGGATCTTCACTGGAGACTTAGAAATCTTATTGAATTCTACGATGTGTCCTAGATATTCAATTTTCTCTTTAAAAAATGAGCATTTATTTTTGTTGACATGAAGATCGAAGTCCATGAGTTTTTGCAGGCAGGCTTTAAGATTTTCTGTGCATTCTTCAATTGTCAATCCATGTACAATTATATCGTCAAAATACGATTCTGTTTTTGGAAGACCCTTGAGAATCCCTGAGAGTATACGATTGAAATCGGATGGAGCCGTTTTGATTCCAAAACTGAGACGATTCATGCGATATGTGCCACGGTGAGTTGAAATAGTCTGAATGACGCTGCTTTCATCATCAACTTTCAGATGTAAATACGCTTTGAAGAGATCAAGTTTACAAAAGTACTTTGAATTACGGAGGCTGTTTAGCACATCGTCTATTCGTCGAATTGGGTGATTCGCCTGGACTAATCTTTCATTCACACCACATTTGTAATCGACGCATAATCGAACACCTCCATCGGCTTTTGGAATGACTACTAAGGGTGATCCCCAGTCACTCATAGGAACTAATGATATGATACCATCTGCTTCTAAGGAGTCCAATTCCTTGTCCACAAGCTCTCGAAGTGCATATGGGACATTTCGTTCTCTTGTGAAGACAGGTTTGGCTCCTTCTCTAAGTTGAAGTGTAACTCTCAATCCTGGAACACATCCAACTTTTGCTTCAAATATGGATGCGAAATAACTGAATACATCTTCGATTGAATTGACAGATTGTAGTTGGTACAATAAAGCTGAGTTTCCAATTTCAGTGTCAATCTGCTGAAGCTCAATACCTAGCCCTCGAATCCATTGTCGGCCAAGAAGAGCATCATGTCCGGCTGGAACGATGTGTAGTTCACCTTCAATTTCTTTTCCACGGTATACAACATTTACTGATATTTTTCCCCTGGGTTGAATGAGATTACCTGAATAAGACCTGAATGCAATATTTGAATCTCTGATAGGTACATTCAGATTCAAATTATTGAAATCGTCCTCATTCAATAAGGAAAACTTTGCACCAGAATCAACTTCAAATCGCTGTGATTTGCCATTGAGTGAGACAGAAATGAAATATTTGTCAGAATCGGGAGTCATTTCGAATAAGTCAACGATTTCACAATGCTGTAATACTGTTTCAATTTTGTTAAGACCGTACGTAAAATCAGAATCTGGCTGATCTTCAGAAACAGCATGAACTGTAGTGGAACTGGAAACACCTGATCTTCTGCGAGAACCATTCATCAAGGTCGTGATACAAACCTTGGCAACGTGACCATTTTTCTTGCAGGAGTCACATGATATTCTGTTTCTATCGAGACGACAATCGTTGATTTTATGATTGTTCCTCACACATCGAATACAAAGATTTTCTATTCCTAGTGCCTTGTAATCTGGTTGACGTCGTCGGTAATTTGAATTTTGGTTATTTGGACTATGTGATCGGGAGTTTGAACGACAACTGGAACGATTTCTGGAATTATGTCGTGCGGAATTTGTGATTTTATTAACGTCACACATGTTGAAATTCGTATGGCTGGAACTGGAACGCTGAGTCAGCTCCTTACTCTCTATTTTCGAGGCTTCAAGAGCGGTTGCTTTTGTCAAAATTTCTTCGAATGATGTTACATTTGATTGCAAAACCTGTTCTCTCAACCAGTCGTCACGCAATCCACGAATAAACTGAGCTCTCAGGAAAACATCGGCAATGGATACTGACTTGGTACATTCGCATTTGACTGAAAATTCGCATTCAACAAGATCACGTTGAAGAGCTGCAACGTATTCGGCAATCGTCTGTCTTTCTTTTTGAAAAACATTCAGGAAATAATGTTGGGAAACAACAACACTTTTCTTTGGTATAAGCATTTGTTTTAAAACCTTCACCAGATCTTCATAAGATAAAAGTTTCACTGGTTTCTCGGGACCAAGGAATGCTGCTAAACTGTTATAATGCGTTGACCCAATCGAAACACACAGTAGCTGAGCAATTTTTGATTTATCACTGACACCTTTCATTGTATAGTAGTTTTCAAAACGTTCAAGATAACAGGAAAATTTCTCTCGACGGGCATCAAAATTCTCGAAAGGTGCGATACTTGAAAAATTAACAGGAGAACCAGCCACAGGCTGCTGTTCGGGACGTAACTGGGCCACAAGCTCGTTGATGAGAGATTGCTGCTGGTCATGCATTACAGTCATGAATTGTCTGAACTGTTCCGCGTCCATTTGAAAAATTATTGAAAATGCCTTTACCTTATTCTATAAGCTATATGTTTTTCACTCGTCGCCAACTGAAATGATTCTGTGAACTGAGATTGTAATGTACTTTCTGGATACAACTAAAACATTGAAGTCTTTAAGGACATGACTTTATTCATTTCTGACAGTATGTCACAATGGGTTGTCTAATCTGAACATCATCAATATAGTGAGGGTTACAACAAGAACGATAAGAGATAACGATACTGAGGAGAAAATTCTTGACCGATTAGCAGAAAATCCGGGTAATTGCATATAATATCCAAGTTTCCCAGTCTACAGTTAGTCGAGTAGCACGTGAACAACAATTATATCAGTTCCACTCACAGAAGGTGATGCTCCCCGTGAAGTTTTTTGTGAATGGTTTTTTGAAGAAATACCTGGAAGCAAATGACTCTCCTAGATATGTATTATTCACCGATGAGGCATGTTTCACAAGAGATGGATATTTCGATAGCAGGAGCCATTTATGGGATGAAGAAAATCCTCATGGTATGTTCTGAAAAGTTTACCAACAGAAGTTTTCTGTCAATATTTGGGCAGGTATTGTCGACAATCATATTGTGAGACCATATCTTCTTCCTCCTCGTTTGAATGGAAGATCTACAGAATATTTGTAGATGAAGTTCTACCTGGTTTACTTGAAGGAATACCTATGTTAGTCCGTCAAAGAATGTGCTATCAGCACCGGCCCATTCCCAGCATAAAGTTCGTCAGTTTCTTGACTAGAATTTCCCTGATCCCCGATCTCCCGATTTAACTCCACAAGATTTTTTCTTTCGGGGGCACCTCATATCCATAGTTTAATTTTCACCTGTAGAATCTGGTAGATGATTGGACTGCTAGAATTTCAGCAGCATTCATGGTTATCCAGAATATACCAGGCATCTTCCAAAACGTGCGACAGTCCATCATCAGATGATGTCAATTATGTATTGAACAAAATGGATATCCCTTCTCGTGGGTACCAGAAATTGATTTTTGTTTTTCCTTCAGCGCGTAAATATTCTATGCGCCAAATAATCTATCGAAATAATTATAAGTTGTTACTGTTTGACATATTAAAAACTTTGCCAAGGTTTCCCTTGATTGAAAACTGCTGTTTTGATAGTTTGATGGTTCTGACAAATTCAAGATGGCGTTCGACTATTAACCTCGAGTTTGTCGATTAACTTCTGACATACCTACACAATGTTCTCGATTTTTTCGTCATTCAAAAATATTCCGGAGGTCGAAAAGTAATATCGATATCTCGTATAATATCAGCATTATGCGATTATGGTAGTGATTCAGACGAAACCAACGAGACAAGACTTTCATAAAGTCTCGTCTCGTCTCGCCGATTAAATATGAAGTTTCGTCTCGAGTCTTGTCTCGCAGCCTCCAGTTTCGTCTTGTCTCGCGTCTCGTACGAGAGTCTCGCAAATGTATCGCAATTTTGTCATGCATAATCTTGTTCCAGTCTATTACGGGATATTTACCTTTACCTTCTTTCTAGGTATAATGTAGAAGTAGGAACACAAAATTAAAACAAAAATATCATCATTTATTGAAAAGTAAGTACCTAATAGGTACATTCTCACATCTTAAAAAAATAGTTAACGCAGCACGTGAGAATAATCTTTCTGCCGGGATTGAAGTAGCCGGTATGCTTAAGAGATCTCATGCCATCAAACTTCGAATGGAAAATTCAGAAGCATGAATTTTCCTCCATTGCAATATATCTGTGTTTTTATTACACCGAGGCACAGAATAATATTTTTGAAGCTCCTGCATCCATACTCGCGTTGAAACAAAGTTATTCTTTATCTTAGACTATTTAGCACAGAATGACTTATAGATTGTCAGGTAGTCATTCAATTTGCGATCTGTCGGTATCGCAGAATTGCCTTTATTTTCCGCCGCCATCATAAGATATCATGGATTGTGGTTTCAAAGCATTTATGAATGAAATGTTTTGTCTATCTGTGCTAAATAGTCTGAATTATTTCTAAATATGTTGTATTATATGAATGAAATTCTCAAGTCTGCAGTCGGCACGCAGAAATATTTACCTGCGAGACTCTCGCACCAGACACGAGAAGTCTTGCACGAGACTAATAATACTCTCGTCTCGTCTTGTCCGAGTCTCGTCTCGAGTCTTGTCTCTAAAACGAGACGAGACCATGCGAGACACTCGAAAACGAGACTCTCGCGGGCACCACTACTTGGTATACGCAGCAAATTAGTCCTCTACCCAATATTACCTCAAGACATGTTTGAAGTTTTTCGCAAATATCTCCTGAACCTTTACATTCAGGCATGCAGAATGTCATCACTTTTCAGTTGAGTATTGATAATACTAATTGATGTTATTCACTAATTTGATAATTCATCTATCTGAGAAAAATTTTGAAGGAAAATGTGGTGACCCTTACTACGGCACTGGTTGACTAAATTCAAAAATGAAAACTCCCTGTGATTACTCTGATTGGTACACCAAGTTTCGATTTTTTTGCTACAGCGGTTCTGGAGAAATTTAGAGAAATCTCAACTTTCTTGGTACTTTCGACACCCTGTGTATGTCAGTGAGGATGCATTTTAGGACATATGTTGATAGGAACTTTTCACCACAAAATGAAGTGGGGAATTCGTGTACGAAGTTTGTCGGTCTCATTCTGACTCACCCTGTATAAATCATGTTGATATTATTTTGGAGGATTAACTACCAGAATCATTGGATCTTTTTGGACATCTATTAATTGTTAGATATTTCACACCAAATTGACTAGATATAACTTCTCATTTTCTATAAATTGTACTGTATACGAGTATTACCTATGTTATGTGATATATATGATAGAATCATTTGATTGATTATCATTATTATTCCAGACACGAATCTCAAGGACAGGGGTAATAAGGTATTTTTGATGATTTAATCTCTTCTAGAAGGGAAAATAGTATTTTTCTTTGAGCACGCATGTATAAAACATTTAACACACAATTGTCACGAACATGAATCATAATCATGCATATATATTTCTTGGGATTCGGAACTTTCTTTTATATATTTCTATTTATACAATACTATACCGCATTTTCTTGAGATTGGAAACATTCAGAGACTCGTCTCTTGAAATTCCGAGTGAAATTCGATACTTTTTCGTCGACGGTTGTGAGATCATTGAAATTTATATGCTGCAGTCCCCAGCCCTAGGCAAACAGGTGGTTCCTAACAGCTGAACATCATCACCAATAAAAATAAAAGATACGTTCTGGTATATAATTAGTCATATATATAATCTTTATTCACGACTAATATATTATACTTGTGGTTTTTGAAGTATAATGCCATATATTAATCCCGCAGGGAATAAAGACTATTAATCCCTCGCCATTATTCCCTGCGGGATTAATATATGGCATTATACTTCAAAAACCACAAGTTTATATATTAGTCGCAAATAAAGTAGAGTATACTACTCGCAATAATGGCTATTATTCTCTCGGAATGTTACTCCCTCGCCGCTAACGCGGCTCGATTCGTAAAAAATCCTCGAGAATAATAGCTATCATTATTGACTCGTGGTATAATCTACTATTATGAACAGAATTTTGTTATTTCACCATTGATACGATCTGTTTATTTTCAGCAAGTTTTCGAGATACAGGGTATCAAAATTTCCATGAAAAATCGTTTTTTTATCCATTACTCAGTTGTCTTCGCATCAATTCCAATAAAATGTTGTGGTTTTGTTAATAGTGATATGAGGCTACTTCTGGTGCAATAAGATTCGAGATAATATTCCCAGTGGCGTCACAGTGGGTAAATTTATCAATATTTATGGTGAATGTCATTATACGCCACCGGTTTTTCTAAGTATCAATTTTTTTTATTAGATTGAACTATTGAAATAACAACTTTTTTATGCCTTAATTTTTGAGGAAACAATAAAAATTCGATTCGACTCCAAATTGTAATGTATGCTTGTTTTCAAGACTTCTATTGAGTTTACTCAATAACCCCAATCAGAATTATTTTGAAATTTTGGGACTTTCTCAGTCTGCAACCATACTGAGTTTTGACACCATGAAAGCTCATACAGACGGCTTATAAATTCAAACAATTAATACTTCCAACTTCAACATCCTGTATCTCAAAAACGGATCAAGCTAGGACACATGTTTATAATAACTTTATTCGCTAGAATATGACAAGGAATCGTCCCCTGCATTCTTTCGGTGTTATTTAGATACACCCTGTATATACACTGTTGATGGCTTTTGTTGTGCCATAATTCCGAAAAATGAGCCAATAACACCGTCTCCAAAAAAGAACTGCGACCTTACATCTTCCATTCGACTTCGCGGTTCTTATATATCACAGAAACAACAACTGAATTCGCAATTTTTGAAAATCAAATCACATTTCACGTCGATGATTTTCAGATTTCAATATAATGTAATATCACCTCAATATTGATTGGTCCTTTTTTCTGTCACAGATAAATATGTTGTATTATACACGGAAAAATATTCGATTTTGGCTCACGGTTTATTGTCTCTCATAGTTTATTTTCTCGAGTTACATCATTTCTATCGACTGTTTTTGATTGGGATTACAATATTCCTGTATCAATAATTTGTCTATGACCTATATGTTACACACTCTGCATGTATGCACTTCATTCAACGCAGAAATCCATATTTCAATCAACAATTTATATTTATCGACTCATGTTTGTAATCGAGTTTGTAATGTAGCAAACCGACATTGAACATTCATTAAAGTGTCATCATTACCAGGTATAATCAATCGAAATTCAAGAACTGATCATCCTGGTATCTCTTACGTTCTACCACTCCATGAAGGTATATTTCCACTGACTGATCACCTATTTGTCCAAACTGGTCCGAACGATAATCAGCAAACCGTATGCGAATGGCCACGGTAATACCGTGTCTTGGTGAGCTGACTATTAACTATATTTTGACTGAATACTCTTGGTCAGTGTAGTATAAACTGTATTGGTTTGGTAACGAAATTTGTTGCGTACCAGACTAAAATAGTATGATGACCAAGATGGTGTAAATATTTTGGTCTACTTTTGTTTAGCCTTGCCTTGACTGGAGTGCAAGTGGCAGTTATTCCATGAGTTCTCGTAATAATATTCCATTCAATTTTAGCTAATTCTGTACCCTACTGAGAGGTTTCATTCTCAATTTAGGAATTCAAGTAGATTTCCAACCCAACCTCAAGAAAATGATCAAATCAAAACAAAGTTGGTAACGTTAGTCAACTGAAGATACATAGTGTAAACATGCGTTAACTAAGGCATTTGTTCTGAATTTAGTTAGATCTCCTTGGTAAACATAGACATATGAAACGAGGGAGAGATAACATTTCAATCATAAAACACTTTTTGTTGAGAATCATACACACTTTCAAAGTTTCAAATAAGTTTAGAGATGACTTCAAAACATGGTATCGCTGTATAAACTGTGCGTCAATGTTCACACTTTGCTTTACCAGTCGCGTAGGTTGAGCGAGGTACTTATCTGATTCTCATTTAGTGGAATTCAAACAAGAAAACAATGTTTCAATAATTTAGTTGAATATCTTACGTAACTACACCAC